ACGATCTGTTGAGGAAAGGTTTCGTGGGAGTTCAGGACGATGTTTTGCGTGATCAGTTACTCAAATGGGATTGCACGGACATGCATGGACTACTTGGTTTTACTTGATCGGACTCAACCTGTTATTCTTGGGGAATCTCAATGGATCATGTCCCTTTCTCTTGGATCAGAGGATCTGGCAAAACCATACAACACCTCTATTCTACATTATAAGACGTGTTTTTCCACGACCCTCTCAACGGGCCACATCCATGCGTGTGCGTCACGAGGCTAAAACCATGCGTTTGCCGTCTGCGTCGCGGCCGGGCGCCGAACAAAAGCGGGTGCTGCAAAAGAAGCGGCGGCGGGATGCGGCGGGTCCTCATGTCGAAGGGGGAGTTCTTGGATTCGGTCAGAAGGTTGGACACAAATCATGTGGAGCACCACCCTCCAATTCATGTGGAGGGATATGGATATGGAACAATTCCCAAGACTGAATCTTTTCAGGATTCATTCATGAGAAGGGATCGGTTTGCCAGATGGTCATTATTGCTTTATAAGGAGATTTCATGATATTGCAAGGGTTATGGCCCGTGAGGTCTGTGTGTACCACCATGTCTGTCGCATGCAAACCTTGCCTGGTCATTAGCGACGGATGAGCGCCTACATGAACGCTGGCCAGAGTCCTGGGATCGCCTGCATTCGATCGCACCAGACATGGCTGGACAAATTCTAGTGGGCCTGCACGGCATGCGCTGATTCAATGAGGCACGAGGCATGAGGCATCAGCACACACACGCAGACGGTCACGCACTTATATTGTGCATGTGTGTGTTGTGTTGTTTTTTTGTATTTTATAATCTGCCATAGGCATGAGCCAACAATGAGCTAGCATGAGCAGGAAACGACAAGGTGGTCTACGAGTCTAGGAGTTTGGGCTTGAGAGGGTAAAAGTTGAGTTGGCAAAAGGGACCATAGGATGAGGCATTGGTGAAGAAAAGGAAGAACGGCAGCTAGCATTGCAGCACAGTTGGCCAATGAAGTTTGGCCAAATTCATTGGGGAAGGTTCTGGCACCCAAATCTGTAAATTGCTCTGAAGGCTGAAGGTTCATTGAAAAGCTGGGCCAAATCTATCTATAATATTCTATAATGATTTATAGTCAGTGTTTAATCGTTCACACTGGGGAATGGGCAGGTTACTTTGCTCAAAGCCAATGAAAGAGGATTTGTGGGTGAAACCTGCCAGAGTTGGATCGTGTCTGTCGATCCGTTGGAGAATCTGAGTTTCAGCGAGAAATTGCATTGACAGACGGTGGACTTGTGGACTTGAAGGCACTGGAACGTTTTTGAGTCTTGCGTTTGTTTTCTCTACACCCGGACAAAACAATTTGGCAATCATTTGGAGTCCAATCAGCTTCAACAGCTCATGCAAGAGACATATACAGCCGCCTACCGGGGGTCCCCCTGTCATCCTTTGTTATGGCTGGTTTTTGCAGTTTACATTTCTAGCTGGGTGTGCCGATTGCTCAACATGATTCAACATGCTGGACATGTTCCCAGGTCTCATGGATGGTCTGGGATATGATACCCATGAGATCCTTGGGGCATGAATTTCACTTTTCCTGGCAGAGCTTCTTACTGTTAACATGCATGTCATAGGAAGGCGGCTTAAAGACCCCCAGACACGCGAAAAGACCACACACCACATTATCAAACCGAGATGTGGATCGAGGAACAGAAAAAAGCGGGCCTCACGGGCAGAACAACTTGTCTATTCAAATCTCGGGCTGAAAAAAAACGGCGCTTTCGGATTTCCTAGGTACCTGGACATGACCCCATAAAACCAGGTACTTGTACCAATTTTCCGAGGTACTTTGAGACTCCAGGTATGGGCAAAAGTGGATGATGGGGAACTGTTTGCTGCAACAAGGACGAACTGTCCCCGCGTCGCACCTTGCGGCTTACAGCTCAGCCAACCCAACGTAGCTGGTGCGGTCCCTGAGGCTGGACGCCATCGCTGCGATTCCAGGAACTGAATGCAAATGGACTATATGAGGTATTGGTTCCTTGATACTGGGCCTATTCACCTGCTATATATAATTTAATATAATTTATGGGTATGGCTATGGGCCATGGGCATATCATGGCTCATTCAAATTTAAGGAATCGCTGGCGCCGCCCCCACTTCCACATCTTCACAGGGTTTTCGGGATGGACGACTGACTTCGACCGGTCGACCCGTATGGCTCACCGCTCTTCGTGCTGTGTCGTGGCGATGGGAACGAGTCCCGCTTCGGTGTGGCTCCCGTCATGCAACGATGTCTTCGGTGTCCGAAGACGACAGGGCCGGTGACCAACGCCCGGGGGTCATCCTTCTTGAACAATAGTCTGGATATGTTTTTTGCCCGTTTTTGGACCGCAACAGATTCGGGTGGACCCTATTTGGATCTGTTGTAGCCCATCAAATCGTGGCAAGCCGCTGGGCACTGAAAACACACATTTCATGTATAATGGAATTAATACCTACACTGAGCCCTGAAACCAACTCAATGTAGCTAAATAAAAAATGCTAGTCTCATGGAATGTTTGGATTTTGTTGTGGCTTGGGCGGTTTTTATGATGGTCCAAGCCAACTAGCGCTTCCCTCCTGCTCCTGCTTTTGCGTTGAAGCCTGCTGTAGTACGTCCTTGCCATCTCGCAGTTGGTATGGGCCAGTGCTGTGGCAAAAGTGGTCAGAACTGACTCACGAGAACAGTGCAGACATCTTCAAGCAGTTTGACTACAACAGCAATGGCGAGCTTGAAGCAAGCGAGTTGAGAAATTTCTTGAAAGCAGCATTCCCAAGAACGGAATCTAGGTCATGGCTTGGAGCAATTTTTCGCTCCCTGCTTTGCAATGGGTCTCCCAGTTCACTCATGACTAATGTTTGATTTTGATACATTTTTGGGGGGATAGTCCGGGGATAGTGGGGATGCTCGGGACCCAGGAACTCTCAAAGGAGGAGCTCAGCGAGTTGGTGACTCAGTTTGATAGTGACCAGAATGGCACCATCGGCCTCAATGAACTTCGGGCATTTCTTCGATGTTACAATCCGGAATCGAAGACCATACAAAGGAAGACAGCCCTTCTCGTCATTGATGTGCAGAACGATTTCATCTCAGGATCCTTGGCTGTGCAGAACTCTGAAACGATTGTGAAGGTGATCAACCAGATCCGAGATAAATTCGACTGTGTGGTGATCTCTTATGACTGGCATCCTCAGGACCATTGCTCCTTTGTGGAAAGTGCGAACGATGGCAAGGTAAAGATCAAAGAGACAGAGGGTGTTGGCACATTCCAGGCATTTTCTCAGGTCACATTACTTGGTGATCAAGATCGTGCAGAGCATTCACAGATGCTTTATCCACGCCATTGCGTTCAAAAGACATGGGGGAGCGAATGCCACAAGGATTTAGTGGTGAAAAAAGAGGACATGTCCGTCTACAAAGGGCAGAAGGCAAATATCGACTCTTACTCGGCATTCTTCGACAATTGCAAAGCCAATGACACTGGCCTCACCAAGCAGTTGGAAGATGCTGGCGTGACGGACGTTTACTGCTGCGGCTTGGTCTTTGATATTTGTGTGAAATCTAGTGCTTTGCATGGAGCGGAGAATGGATTTCGTGTGTCCGTGATTGAAGACGCGTGCAAGCCCTTGAACGAGACTGAGGCTGGCGCGGTTCAAGCCAAACAATATCAAACCATGTTTCACGTACTGTAAGTGACACAAAGAATATCCTTGCCATTTGTTTAATGATTTTGGTATGATTTTTTGGTGGGTCCAACTAGCGAAGTCGACCTTGGCATCTCCTAATGGCAACTTGGTGCGTTCATTCCTCCAGACCCGCCCCACGGACGTGGAGATGGAGATGGCTCCGAACCAAACCCGGCAGGTCGAAGGCACCCGGAAGCTTCTCGCCAACGCGGGGGTACAGGTCATGAGTTCTGCGGAAGCCACGCGAGAGGTGAGCGTGCAGATGTCCGGATCCATGCCCCTGAAGGAGTTTCTGCAGTCAGTGACTCGGTGCTGCGTTGGAATCCTCAATTTGAAGGACTTTCAGAAGTCATCCTGAGCCGGCCGTAAAGGGCGCAACAGATGGGTAGTAGATAATTTAGTCCAGTCTGTCCAGTCCTATATGGATTCAGGTAAGATCATGTTGAATGATGTTCATGGTTCCCCCAATCTGCAAAATCACTGAGGGATCTGAAGGGAACACGACAAACATGCTTAACTGACACATTCCCTGAAGCAAGCTGCTACCAAGGTGAAGTCGCACAAACATGCAGCGGCACTTCACAAGTCTGAACATCTTGCTTCACATTGTCCGTCCAAGGTGAAATCCTGATGTGGACAGTGTGATTTTCACCAGCCTGTATATAGTATATAGGCATCAAGTACTGAGCATGACAATGTTGTTCTTTTTTGTTGCCTGCGAAAAAAAGAGTGTGGAACAGAGCATATTATCCTATGTGTTCCTCAGCTGCTTATTTGGTACATAGTATGTCATAGCAATTTTTGATAATGTTTGGTTAATCTTGATTCTGGAAGGTCAACAATGAGATACCATGACCCGCAACTAGTTGATTCAGTTCTGCTTTCTTTGAGGTATCGGCTATACGTGGTTGAAACAGATCCCTTTGCTAGTCTTAGACCCTTGGCCCTTTATGGGATTTACTACCAAACCCCTAAAAGGTCAAAGTATTGACAGAAGATTTATCAGATGTATATAAATCTAAGGACAGGGAAGTTCAGCAGTTGGGGGAAGCAGGATCAACATTTGCTGATTTTATGGGATCATACATGCTGGCAGCCAGAAGCGTCAAATGATTTTGTATTTGATCTGGAAATCGCATACAGTCCATCTATAGTTGTACACACATCATGAACTATAGGTCTATAGGTTAAAGCAACTGAACCGTACTTGAAGGTGTGAGCTTTGCCACAAGCAGCGCGGAATGAAGTATGCGAGCCTTTTCTCTCATATTGCTTCAGTACTTTTGGCAATCCGACTGCTCGCAGGTGTTTCCTTGGGGGCTGCTCCATGATGGCTCGATGGCTGCTCTTAGCCACTCGAAACGGTGGACCACCACACCGCGGACAGACCCGATACCGCGTAGACCAACGCGGAGGGAATGGGAGCGAAGCAACGCCAAGAACGAGTAGACCTTGAGATGTGAGTCGACCAAAACCGAGTTCAGTCGAGTTGTGAGAGGGGTATTTTGACAAGATGTGAACTGGCCACCATGTGCAACGGGCTGCAAAGCTGACCGTCTTCCGTGGTTTTAACCCATATATACCACGCAAATGCATAAGGTTAGACTCGAACCCAGCATCAATTACGTATAGTCGTATGATGTCGTATGACTCTCTTTTGCAACAGACGGCAACTTCCCGAGCCTCTCTTCCGTGTCATTTTGTCCACGGTCTTTCTTCCATGTCCCCCAAAGCGTTTGCCCACGACCGAAGAGGATACATGGAGTTTCACATGGTCGAGGGTTGCTTCGACCGTGTGAAACGTCCCAATTCCTTGTGTTCTTCGTTGAGTGACCCATTTGGGCTCCAACGTGCAAAGGTGTTCCCTCCGTTTTCGGAGAAGGTCGTTGGGGTGGTCCCATGGAGGGGGTTGGGAGGATGCGAGAGCTACGAGGATCGAGGCTTGTCGCCGGCAAATCGAAGGTGGCCGTTGGGATGCCTGTCAAGGTCTTTTTCAATTTGTTTCTCTCCCATTGGATCATGGTAGAAGCTTGACTCTATACACTGACTCCACCTATCTCCACATGCGAATATATGTCACGTGTTAGAATGTCTATCTTGAAGCCCCCTGTCACCCCCCGCCCCTCCGAACTGGTACCATTTTCAGCTGAGGCCTGGGCCTCACTGTGCTCAGGGAACAAGTTCTTGGCCGCTTCGTCCTAACACCCCGCGGCGATAGCGACATAGCCAGGCATGGGGGAAGGGAGAAGCCTGAAAAGATATAAGATGAGGGAGTCCGACCCAAGACCCCCGGTGTGGGGTCGCAAACGGAGGTAGTTGGAGCTCTGGGTGTATGGCTACATTCTACCTACCCACCTACCTCATTGAGTGTTTCAAGATCGCAGTGTTTGGTGTTTCTTGTGTGTGTGTTGTCATTTTTTATGTATCAGGAATCGTTTGGTTTCAACTGCTTGTTTTCGGTGTACTCGTAGCTGTAAAAAAGCTGCAAACTCTGGGTTTTGAACTAGGGATGAACCAAGAAAAGCTCTTTTTCCCCCATCTCCGGACGGCGCCGCACCACCGAGGCCTTTCATGAACCATCGTGGCGTTCTCAGGGGGAGCGAGTTCCGGGCCTGCCCGGCCGAAAGACCACCTCCCAACTGGCCGAAGTCGACATGTTTGGTCTCGGGTGCGAACCAGGCGGCTCGCACTGCATGCACTGCATGGCCATGCTTCGGCTTGGTAGCAGGGTGTTCTCCATGTCATGAGATCTCCACCGGAAAAAGAAAAAAGACACCTAGGGAACATTTAAACAAATTGACCAATGGGTTCTCATGCCAGATATATAATTGTAGGACTCTATTCTTTTCAGATCTGAACTTGATGTGGCACAATAAATTGGCATTGGAGTAGCCAAATGATTCAAAAAGAAGACCTCTTTATCTGCCTTCAGAGCTCATGCTTTTCCAAACTGGGATGTCAGGCCGACGTCACCGGTCACCGGAAGGTTCTGCAGGAGAGGACTACCTGAGGTGAGTGTTCATGTATTTCCTATGCAAGACGTGTTCAGCAAAGTTCCAGGGGTCGCCTTTGATTGTTGAATCGGGTGGATATGTTTTCTATTGTGTTCTTTGTTTGCGGAATAGATTAGATGCTCAAAATGCGGCGTTGGATACCTGAAAATCCCAAAGATAAGAAGTTGACGATCTTGATCTCAGGCATAGCTTGAACGAAAAGGTGCAGGTTCACTTGCTGAATGCTGGAAGACGCTTGGTGGCAGTCCCGTTGCCAGGGCATTGGATATGCTTTTAAGGTTTCCAAGCATGTGGTCCATACACCATCAAGGGATTATGTGCTGTCATATGGAGCCAAGTGAGGCTGCATGTTTAGTTCTTGTTTGAATCCTTTGTGTTTTGTTCAAGTTTCCACAAAGACCTTTTGCGGAATCAATAGATGGCCGCAGCCCGGACAATCCGTGGATATCCATGGATGCATATATGGAATATTATGGAATATTATGGAATATATGATATGCCGCCTATGTGTCTACATTCATCCCAGGTTACATAACCACCCCAATGTATGCACCATATGCCAGTCCCATCAGTGTTTGGGTGCCAAAAGACCGTCGTCCGGCTAGGCCAAAGGCCACCTCCGTCATTTGGGCGGGTTGATTGACATCCCATATATATATATATACATACGTATGAGTATCCCTAGGGATCCACATTCCTCAGAAGGTATGACTGGGCCCTCCAAGCATGAATAGTCTCCAATCACCGTACCCCAGGTTCGGTCTGTGGATCCATCGGGTATTTTGGTTGTGACAGATCATGGAATCTGCGTTGCTTTGATCCAGAAATGAATTGAGGCGAGTCTTCCGATGACGCCACCTGGCTGAACTACAAGGACCAAGCATGCAGCAGAATTGCAGGGGAAACAGTGGAACATCGTGGCGGTACAGACTGCCGGAGCACCGTGTCCTGAAACCCGGCCCCCCCAGCCTTTGGTTGTGTTTCAACAAAACAAGAGACATCCATCGGAACTTTGCTCAGACAGTCGCTAATACCACCGCAAAGAACAACGTCAAGAACCTGCCTGCCGCTTGCCCCTCAATTCATGGGTTCCTGACTCAAGCTCATTGGCCTTTGGTCCACCTGCCGTGATATTCAATTTTACAGAGCACTCATGTCATGTAAATCCCATTGAACATGGTATGTATGAACATGTAATCCCATCGCTTGTTTTGTTGCACGTTTGCATCCATTCTGTCTTCCTGTCTCCAGCGATTCCAAAGACACACACGACGTATATGCCAAGTGAGCTTCCACGTTCCAACGGGTGTGGATGCTTATGCCCCGATGAAAAAAACATAAAGCCCAAATAGCAAACAGGTGGTTGTTGTCCACAATTTGATGACGCAGACACCCCATGTAACTATGGTATATACAGTATAATTACATGCCATGCCTGCATTGATCCCCAGGTCAACTATACCCCCACTGATGGATCAATAGGCCAGTCCCATGGATGGTGGCTCAGGTTTTTTCACACCTGGGGGGAAAGATGGAAGGTCTTTCTGTCAGTGTCGGGACCCGACGAAGTCGCTGAGCCAGTCTTCTTCAGGCGGAAGTGAGGCAGACCGTGGAGGACCACAGCAGGAGCGCAGTGGGCACCGCTTTGTTTGGATGTTGTTTTTGTTGTTTGATGTCGACCTCCGATTTCGACACAGCTAGGATTTGTTCGATGTCGATCTCAAAAGATTTCAGCAGGAAACTAACACTTGAACCCCTCTGTATTATGCTAGTTGCTGGCCTGAAGAACCAATCCAAGTCATCATACTTTGGGTTATCCTGATGGGTCCAGAGTGAATAGAACCCAGCACGCCCTTTTTTCAGCGTCCAGAGTCCAGGACCATCCAAAGCCGATGTCCTTTTCTTTGCACCAGTTCCACCATTCTGTAGTACATCATCGCCAACCTCTTCAAGCATCCTCACAAGGTACCTGAGATACCTGAAACCTATGGGCATGTTCATCGATCTTCACCTTTCATGACATGTCTTCGTCCGCATCATCTCACGCGAAACACCTGTCGACGCTGCTTCGACCGTCGACGTCAGGCGCTCGGAGCGCAGAATAGCGCGTCATAGAAGCGAACGACGTGCAAGGAGAGCGCCTGAACTGGGGTGGTGGTGTTCGGGCCTGTGGGGAGCTGAAAGGTGGTTCTGACGCCGAGTAACCATTGCCAAGTGAAAAACATTTTCCAGAGGTGCATGTTCAGTGTCAACGCTAGTTTTCGGAAGGATAGCCAAACCAAGACGGAGATAATAGTTAGAGCCCACGGGACTAGAGGTGGTAATCCTCAACTTGCGTTTGACTGCTGAATGCACAGGGAATCCACATGTCTTCCGAATCTTGCCCACGGGAGTTCGGCATCAAGTTAACACAGGGGCACCACTCCAGTGTGAAAACAAACAAACCCAGGATACAAAGATACACGCAGCTAGCCATACTGCTCACACCTGAACTTTCACAAAGCACTGCCATGGTGTCTAGCAGCAGGAAAGAGGCGACTGCTGTGGCACCCGTAAGAAAGTGACCGCCCAGCCAGTTCCTCTTCTCTGAACACCTGCAGAAACGTGCTATCTTTTGGGCAGAAGGTGTGCAGGAGGCACTTGGCCAGCGTCGCCAAGAAGAGACAGAAGGAAAGACGTTCTAGATTCTAGAGATTCTGGAGAGGTGAAACAGCTACAGAAGCTTCAATAGAGTCCTCGGCTCTCAGTTCATCTCGACGTTCAGATGATGGTTCACCGCTATGCCCCGGATGTCGGATGCCCCGGATACGACCCATCTTCATCTCGGTCGCAGTCACCGGTCACGGTCGCCACCGACTGAATGCCTCGCAGGAATCCCCATGAGCCGCTGGTGGAGATCACGGACCTGTCGTTACAGCACGGTCTCGGAAAGGAGGACGGGCTTTGAACCCGCGAGGGTTCTGCAGAATGTAGCGCCGCTTTTTGACGCATCAGGTTTTTAAAAGGGTGTGTCGAAGAATGTGAGAGAGTCATCACCAACTTGTCACTTGCCCTGGTACAGTTACTATATACATCTATATACTATGATGTTCAGGAGCCTACTGATATAGCTACTATAGTACTTTCTCATGTGAGGGCCAATCCACAGCTGGATGTCGGTCGTGTTTTTTTCTTTTGAGATGCACCAGGAAAAAATACAGCTGGCATGAGGGGTGATGAATATATAGCTGCATTACAGGTGGGGAAGTGGTCTGTAGGGTGAAGATCTGGTGACTTGTGATGCAGGCAGATGGCATTGATATCGACATCGCCACTTGGATGCATCAGCATCACCAGGGCTAGCTTACACGTAGCATCATAGTATGCCCTTGATGTGCAGGATAATTGAAAGAGTATTCCTTTATCTCTCCTTTCTAAGATACACGCGTAGTTTTATGCGACTAAGCTCGTCCCTCTTTGGTTTTCTTGAACCACAAAGTTTCACTGCGGTTGGATGAATCAAATAGGTGGATTGTTGTGTTCTTTTGTGCCCAAAACGATCCTTTCGTCAGCGATGAGGTGAAGGTGAATACCAACATGCTCCTGCCCAGTTCCTATTCGGTGTCATTGGTGACGACTCTTGGCATGTTCGGGCTGAAACGCCCACGGCCACCAAACTGCTGGGCTCATACGGCATGACTCATACGGGAAGATGGACTTGGAGCAAAGAGTTTGTCCTGTTTGGGACTGGCGATTTGGGTGCATGCATTGGGGTGGTTGACCTTGACCCATGGAGTGCCTGGGATGGAGTTGGGTGGTTTTCAGACCCATCTTCCGTGGAGGAGAATGGACGCCTCGATCTTCCTCCGTGAAGCGCCCCATGCAACTGTGAAGAATTGACATGGCGGAGCGCTCAATGAAGAGATACCGAGATACCTATGTGGCTCCATCCCCTCAGAAGGTGGGGACAGATCCCCTCAACCACCAACCCTCACCACCGAACTGAAACGGAGGGGGTGGCCAGGACACTTGTCAGCCCAGCACAGCACAGCGGTCTGCAGTAGCTGCTGCACCTCTCTCCGTGCTGAGGACCACAGAGGCTCCGAGCAGCAATCGTGGAAACTGCGTCTGCTCACAGGGGAACTTCTTGCATTGGAGCACCAAGGACTGGGTCGCGGTCATCTTCAAAACCTGGGTTTTAGAGGCTAGCACGGAATGCTTTTTTTTGAAATGACAATGGCATATTGCTTACTGATTCGATGCTTGAGAGAGGAAACATAGTATCCTCAATGTCAAAGGTTCCTTCATCACCTGATTCTGAACTAGAAGCAACTCGAATCTTCTTAGAAGTCCCACGGCGCCCGTGGACCCCTAAACCAGCACCCCGACCCAAAACCACAAGAAATGGTGGATTGTTCCTCATGTGTGACAGGCAAGACGACACCTGCCAGACTCCCGTGATAATCCACAATGGAAAATTTCCAAAGAACAGCTCCAAGACCATCCACACATATCCATACACCGGGATTAATGTATGTAACTGTTCCATGCATGGATGGTCTGGGAAAGAACCGTTCCAAGATCATGGGTTCCTCAAAAACGCCTGAAGACCCCTCTCAAGTTGCTTGGCTCATGAGGAGTGCGTGCCTCAGAAGCCCTGGGGCTTCGAATGCGGCTTCTTCCCTCGCCAGCAGCAGAATCGCGTTTGCCAGGACGCTGGGAAGGTTCACGCAGAAAGGGTGGTCGCCGCAGCTGTAGCTTGCCAATGGAACCCGGTTGAACTCACTTGCCCCTTTATGGACTTGAAAAGGCCGCATTTTGGGTGGTTGGTGGCCTAAACTAGAGGTCACCCAGATTCTAGGCACTTGTATGTGCCGCTGTGGCTTTGGTCCGCCCTAGGTGCTGATTGACAGGCTTCCATCAGCCTACTAGCCAGATCGGCCGAAAACTGCTCACCGGTGAAGATAAAGCAACGCTAGTACGAAGCTACCAGTTTGGTAGCTTAGTCCCCCAGCAGTCGAAAATTCCTGTGACTCCGGATCCACATACAATTTGAGGTACGGTGATTGGAGACATTTGGAGACCATTTATGTAGAGACTGGGAGGGCCCAACGGAGTACTTTCTGAGAAGCTTGGCTAGTATTCCTACGGACTCTATTTTAGTATGTGCCCGGTGCCATCAAAAAGCTTTGCTACCGACTTACAGTGCGGGCCATCTATTTACTTGTTGCCAGTCCATACTGTACCCGTATACCCAAGCCTTTAAGATCATTTACAGAAAGGTTAACTTTGGTCTTGTATTGCATGCGTGTTTGGGTTTCACACCTAACGAGAGTTCAAATAATCCTTTTGTAAAATGAAAGTCCACTGTATCGTAGCTCGCGAGGATTCTCACTGAGAGCTTGCCAAAGTCCAAAAATGTCCACTATTTATCGGACTTATAGGACCTATGATTGATGTTTCATCGAAAAGAAGTCGCTTCACCGCCAGGATGGGCTCATTTGCAAAAGGCGCGCAAGCACGGAATGGCTGGCGCACGTAAAACAAAGAAAACAAACTAGGAGAGTGAAATCGTAAAACATTTTGTATACCTGGACTCAGGACCATGGGTGTCCTGTTTGGAGATCCCTGACTTAATGTAAGGTAGCTCATTGGACACCCAGACAGGATGGTCATGTTATACTTGGCATTGAAACCTTATTAGACTTTGACCTATGCTTGGCCATGAATCAAGTTCACACTTTATCCTGTGTCTATTGGACAAGAGGGACATGGTTGGGATTGATTGAAATCATGGTGCGCATGGATCCCCAAATATGGTCTTATAGACATGCATAGGATCTTCACAACAGATTCAACAGATCGCTTATGGTGTGCGAAGGTTTAAGCCACATAAAAAGTGTGTGTTTCATGTTCTTCTTTCAACGAGTCTTCCTCATAATATTGCTTTGCCTCTTCTTCTGAGAAAAGAAGACACGAAAGAACGAAAGACCAGCTGCCCTGGTGGAAGCCTTCCACCTCCCCTACCTAAACCGCTCACTGGACACCCAGAGGCTCAACGCCACGGATCTCTATGCATCGTCTGGCAAGTACACAGGCCGCCTGGGCATGTACATGTCTGTCGCACGGTCGCACGGTCGCAAGTACAGGGGTGGCTCTGAGGTGTCGGTGGAAAAGACCTGAAGATACCAAGAGAGTTGTTTTATTGTGACCTGAACAAGGACCCGAAGAATCTGGAAAATCTCGGGGAGAGTCGAACTCGGGTTCTTTAACATATCGATTGGATGGACCAGTCGTATGGGAAATGAACGAAGATTTCAGGGCCAAGAAACCCTGAACTACATCTCGTTGACCCTCTAGGCGTGGCACTTCTTCATAGCGCTGCAACTCCGTTCGGTCTACAGCGAGATGAACGCCACTTGAACCATCAACGGGTCCCCAATTTGGCTGCGCGTCAACGCGACACAGCCGGGGGGAGATGGGCCATCCGCAGGTTGGACGTCCACCTCGCCTGCCAGCTGCGAGTATTGCACGAAGGAGGACGATTGCACCAGTGGCATGGAGAGGTGTGGGTTCAGTGGAGAGTCCGAGACGTCCGAGCAGCTGCTGTCACAGAGGGTTGCTTTTTTGTGGAGAGTCTTTGAAACAACTTTATTACTTAATCTTTGATCCAGGTTTACCAACTTCAGTTTGGGACATTGTTTCATGCCAACATGTCATCATTAATCTATATAGAATACGTTTAGTATTGTCTATCGTCACGTCTTGCCTATCGTCTTCTCCCTCCACATCGCCCTTACGCATCCCATGTCACTACTCCCGGTCGTCTCCGCGTGTCTCCTCGGCGTGTCTCCAGGCATTTGGCGGACTGCGTTCGCACCGGAGACCTGAAGCGCATGGAGGCCGCAACGGAGCACCGCAGCGGAGCTGTGGTGCGTGGCAAAGAACACACGCACGGAGAACCGGGTACGATCTGAAAGAGGGGGTTTCATCTCTTACAGGGTGATCAATCAAAGTTCGGAGAAAGAAGGCTTACTTATCTCACATTTTTTTTTGTTGTGGGGTGGTATCATGATTCTTCTGAGAGTGAGTCAAGTGCCCAAGTTTACTCTGAATATCTCTGAATCTTTGTGGTATGATGTGGTCAATTCAGCTCAAATATCAAGATGCGTGATATTTGGCCCGATCCCACGCCGTTTGTTCAAGTGTACTTTTCACCCAGAGGAGAGCCTTCTCTTTGTGTAATTCTGTGTGGTCAGACAATGTGAGGGCTCAAGTGTTTCATCCAAGCGCATTCCAGTGCTGTGAAATATGCTGGACTGTCCGACTGTACAGGGATCCTGGACTGGCGTTTTGCCAGAAGCAATCTGGGTGCACGTGAGGGGGATTGTACAGTGACACAAAGTGTCCTATAAATCAAATCCAAAAATCCCTTTCTATCAACACATTGCTGCTCTGAAAGATATCCTGCACCTACTCCAGTGTTCCAAGTCTTCTCATCCATTTGCGCAGAGTGTTCGACCCATTTGAGGCTAAAACAACTTAATATTTGTTAATATTATTCAAGTCAGCACCTGCAAGCAATGATACATGTGTCTTTGCAACCCCTGATTCCAACTTGTTGTCATAGACCTTTTGGGTACGAGACACTCTCCAGGAGGAGCTGGAGGACGAGGAGAAGGACCTCGAGCCCTGGGAAGACAGCGAAGTCTTTGAGGCCCGAGCCAGCGACGTCATGTCAGCATGTTGCGAAGGATTCAACAGAGGCATAGGATCATATAGGATATCCAATATCAACCAACACAAGTTCTAATTTTATTTTGGACAATATTAGTATATATAAATATAAACACTTGCATTCTTTGTATCAGGCAGAAAAAACACATCACATCACTCCTGGACGGTCCCGTTGGAAGGGCCGTTGTGACAGATTTGGGTGGTTTCCATTTTAACAGTGGATTCCTCGCCCCCAAACCCTGCCCCACCTGATGAGACATGGGACACCCAAAAAGGCCGTTGTGTCGGAACCGTGACTCTTGTTTTTCTCCGAGACTTCTTCAGGCACAGCACCTGGCACCACACCTTCTTGGGTCGCCTCACCTGCCCGTTTTCGCCCGTTTTCTCTGAGGCTTGGGGGCATAAAGGTGCCCAGCTCCACGACAGCGATGCTGAGGACGGTGTTTCGGCGAGCGATCACCCCGAGCCCAACCTTTTCGCGACGCACGTGTTCAGCGATGACCGAGAAGTGATCCATTGCGTCCCACGGACCACGGGAGTTTCCGCTGTTAGCTGAGCAATAGGATAGGATCGGATGTTCTTCTACCACAGGGCCATTTCTTATACCAAAGGATTCAATGATTTGGTTTTGAGATGTTTTGAGGAGAGGTATGGAACGGTGCATGTTGAATGATTTTGCCACACTCCTCAAGGGTCCTGGCTGCTCCACTAGCACTTGACGACCAGACAACCTCGAAAACTGCGCGCAGTTTCCACCCTGACCAAACCATACCACCATACCAAACCCCACCTGTGAAATTCCTCGTTGATTCCTTGATCATTCGAAGGACCAGTTGGCCACTCACCGAGTCTGTCACCTTCGTCGGTCACCAGTCAGTCCGTCGCCAGTCAGTCGCCGGCCGGCACTTCTGCAGGACTTGGATTCCTTCGGTCGACAAGAGCCCAAGATGTGCGTCACGGTGAAGGCGACGCGAGACGGGCGCGAGACGGGCCATCGAGGAGTGGGCGGAGAGGACGGGTTTTGGAGGGGTCCGGTGCTGGTAAACAATGAAAGACAGATAGGTCTCCATATGATGTCTCCCGAAAAGGTCAGCAGTTTGACCCATGTCAAGCGATTCTGTGTGCGGTGTCATCCGGGCATTCTCCAAGTCAAGGAATCAAAAAAGAGCGTATACTATACTATGTACATCGTATGTGTATTGCGTTTTGTTTTCTGTTGTTTTGTAACTTAACTATGTTGACCAGGCGTTAACCAATCGATGGCTAGGCTTTAGATTTAAGCCAACCTTGACTAAGTGTTGTGGAAAAGTTTTTGCAAGCCCTTTTCAGTGCATATATATAATATATACTGTACTATATGTGCCATACGTGCCATTTGTTCACTACAATCTCACCTATACTGCCAGCCTATACGTACAGCTGACTTGATCGGTCATAGGGTGTGTATGTTGAAAACATGGTTCAAGATACCAACGGAGTTGGACCGGTCCTTCTGATGGATGGCTGAACTCGTGAAGAAAAGGCACCGTTACGAACTACTCAAGAACTCACTACTTCTGAAGATTCACTTGTACAACCCCTTTCTTCAACCTATACATCTGAACACCCACACACTCCCCCGGTCCCCTGTGTTCTTCCATGGTCGTCCCCGGTCAGGTGACCGTGCCTGCTCTGACGATGCGCGACGAGAGCACTCGGCTCATTGAGGCCAAGCTGAATACCACGCTGCAGGCGGAGCGGCGGAGCGGCGGAGCAGTGTTGGAAGTGGGATCAACCACAAGGTACCTGGACCTTCAACAAGGGGTGTCCTGTCTGGAGGTCCCTTGGTAGTGTAGGGCAGGGGTTGATCAGAACAATTACATTCGAATGTAAATTAGATCAATTCGTACATGGGATACAAGCAAACATTACCATGGGATCAATACTGATCAATAGGGCCTAAATGAATTCATTTACAATACCATACAATATCATACAATACCACATGTGACTATCCCCTGGAATGGAGATAAATGAAGGAATGTGATGAATGAGATCAAGACCATCCACTTGCAAGACATTTTGTAATACCACGTGTAAGTATCCACAGGAACGGAGGGTCAATGTGCAAGGAAGGTGTTATGTGAATCAAAAGTTCACCCTTGAAGGAACGCTTGCAGTCATACTCTTGGTACCTTCATTCATAGTGATTCATAGCTAGATGCACGTGTGGGAAGCGGTACGTTTTGGAAGGCCCTGTGAAGTTGTCGATGGCAATGGTATTTGTGTTGCTCCATTCCATTCCCTACTTTATAATATATTGACCTTGACTAATTAAATTGTATGCTAGGAGCATCTAGCGGCCTAAAGCTAATGAGTACTGTTCTGTGATGGAAAGGCCTCAAGGTGCAATAGCATCATAAAGGTGATGTCGGTCGCATCAGGCATGAGGCCAGGTACTGTCCAGCATCCTGAGAGATATCGAATCTCCCCCCCTGTATTCTAGGTACCTTGACACATCAAGCACTTGGAGCAAACCCCAAATTCGACCATGCTTTGGATCATCCTCTTTTGCATTGGCCCGGTCTAAACAACAGCAATAGAGGCTCCATAGGCCGTAAGGGTGGAGGCTCCATGGCTCGCCACGGGGGCGAAATGGTCACTTTTCCTTCACCAAGTTGTCCGTGCGGCTCCTGCAAAGTCGTTAGCTTCGCAGGTCATTGCGAATGCCACGCAGAAGGCCTGACGGTCGGAACGCATGCCTTGGAGAACACCGGGTTCGGGGTTTGGGACGGGTTGGTTTTTCTTTGTCCAAGGATCCACATATACCTTCTCAGGTACGGTGATCGGAGACTATTTATGTAGACGACATTGTCGGGCCCAGTCGCAGCTTCGAAGGTGGCAGTGGATCTCTAGGGGCTTTCACCTGAGTTTTGGTATGACCGTGTTCATCCAGCTTCCGCATTCCAAACAGGTCGTGGTCACTCCACTTCCGATTTCAGGTCGTGTATGTTTCTTGGTCTTCCCTGTGGTGCACGTTGATGTGGGTTTGGGGGGGTTCTTCACCAATCTGAAGACGCACAGGTCGTGTGCAGGTCAGGTGATGAGAGGTGACGTGTGTGAATCCTTGGGCTGTTCCTTAGACGACACCATCCCTTCTGCCATTAGGCAAAGCCATCGGATCCAGGGAGGGGGGCCAGTCAGCATCGGCGACGGGGACAAACCGTTGCCAGCCCAGGCTCGGTGGTATGACGCATGGGATTTCCACGTCTCGCTAGAAAACTATGACTGTTTCGGTGAACTCGACCATCCTTTCGAATTCTCCTGCGCCGCAAAAATGCGCGCCACAAAAGGTTGAAAGGACATGGTCCTGGACCAGACATGGACCTTCTGGAAACATGGACCTTCTGGACATGGTCCTGGACCTTTCATGCAGACATGTCTCCAGAAGGTCCATGGGACCATGTCCAGACTCCTGAAGCTCAGCTGGACCATGTTCGAAGAGGAGCAAAAAAGCCCCGCACGAGACGACCATCCGAAAAGAAGACCAACAGCACCGTACCGTGCCACCCCCCGCCGTTCTTTTGGAGTCTCAGGCCGATGGTCTTACACCCCCAATCGCCTGTGTCAAGGCCGATGCCAATGCGAGCGCTAGTGGAAAATCTCGACGCCAGGCTGTTGCAGAGGCCTGTTGCAAAACAGCTGCAAGGCAAACACGTATCACTTCAGCCTTCATTTCACTTGGAAGATACTAAGATACCTTTTCAGATTGAAAACCTTTACACAACACATCGCAGAGGGTGTTTCGTCCTTTGTGGCTTTGAGGGTATAGCAACTCATGCAACTCATGCCGCTCATGCAGGCTTGGGGCTCCGTTCGTTCGCCGACGTTCCGCTCGGTGGCCGGAAAGCGCCGGACGACGGTCAGGTGCAAGCAGAAGCCAATGCCAGCTACAATGCCACGGCCTACGCGGAAGCCACTTACACAGCGCCTTGCCTGTGGCAAAGAGGGCAGAATATCAATCACCTGTGTTGGACCTGCTGTGATGTTTTTTGGAGGTCTGGAAGACCAGCATCTGGAAACAGGCAGTGATGTCACTTTGCTCAGGGAGAGGAAGTCTTGACATGGTCAAAGTAGCCAGTTTAATGACTTAATCGATGGACCAATAGGCAGACTCTTACGTGCAGAATCCCTCAAATGCTCCAGGTCCAAGAATCACTAGAACCTGAAAACGAAAACAAGAACTGAACGTGATGTTATTATCCACATCAACTCTCCGTGCAACTTGCCACAACAATCAACTGTTAACAGTACTCTTATTTGTTTCTTATTTACACCTTGTTTACACCTTGTACCCTTATTCAACGTACTCCACTCCACCACGAGTTCCACTCCGACTCGTCTCCTCGAGGCCTATGCAGAAGCCACGGACCGAGCCACTGCGACCTACAAGGCGAATGCTGTGGCTGTTTGGTTCAAGGATCTTAAACTTAAACGAAGAAGTCGAAGTCTGGAAAGCTAGGATTACAGAGTACATATATATATATAAGGCACTGTAGGGCACTATTGTCACTATAGAGGGGCCCCTGTTCAACTTACAATTAGCAGATGTTCAACTCTGTTTTGCTTGACTGGGAGCTGGCGTTGGGTGGGTGCCAGGAGGGTTTGTTCCTAGCTGGTGAGATCGTTGTATGTGTCAGAGAATGGTTGACAGTCAAGAGCAACACTCTTAGTGTGGAGCGGTCAAAACATATAAAAACATGTCAAAACACTGACCAGATGACAATTGACCATTGATGGATCTCTGAACAGTGGTGGTACATCCGATCCGATCGATCCCAAGGGTTGATGATCCTTGAGATATGTTCTTGCATGCTGTAATATGAAGGGATTCATCCGAAGCCGAAGCCCAGTGATTCACGCCTTTTGGTTCTAGCCAGAGGACGTTTGCCACCGAGCGCAAACACTGAGACACCGAACTCCGCTTTCGACGAACGCCTCGACCGGTAGCTTTCCCGGTAGATCCGCTGCTGGGAAATCCGAGCCTCCCGAGCTGGTAGGGCCCTTTCCGCCTAGACTCGCAATGGTCCCAGACACTGCAGACACGCCTCAAGGGACTGGCATATCTTCGATCAGTGGGCATGATGGAAATTCAAGGGTCATATGTAGGGGTGGCATCGCTTCCCGTCGACCAGTGGCCCCCCTTGAGACGGAGTCGCGAGAATCGCGAGGTGTCGCTGTGGCCACCCGGGTTCCGCCAGGCGGTGGCCACCGCAGAAGCCAAGGAGAAGACCAAGGTCGGTGCCACGGTGCCGTGGCAGAAAGGGTTTTTGGGTCCCAGTGAACTGGGCTGATGGATGATGGATGGATACGGGGTCTACTCCAATAGCTTGGGGACATGGAAGAAGATGGACCATTGGGATTAGGTTGGTTATGTTTACCTGTTTTAGTTTATATAGAGGACCATGAGAACACTGTTCAGAGCTGCTTTCAAGTCACTGGGCCGGTGGGTAGAATCGTGTGAACTAGGGTCAACATGTTGTGAAAGTGACAAGTAGTTAGATTGTGGGATCTCAACATATTTGCACTGTTGCTCGAAAACGCATCACGTGATGGAGGTAGAAAACACGTGAAAACATTATCCTGACCAAATTCTAATATAGAGATGTGTGTGTTGGTAACTTCAAGGCGTTGTTTGTTTGTTTGTTTGTTCTATCTTCTTTTGGGGGAAAGGTATATATATATATATAGTCCTAGACTTCCAACTGCATCCTTGGAAAGAGGACACGACACCTATCGAATCCGCCAGTTTGGCCATGCTACGCATACCTCTGCTTCAACCCAGGACGTCACTGCTGCGGCCCGGCGCAATGGCACTGGGGCGGCCACGAAGATTGCGAACGCCACCAGGACCTGGACCTGCCCTATTGACCCATCAGTTTGGGGGTGCGTTGACCGGTGGTCCATGTAGGCAATTATGACATGGGTGGATGGGTTGGCAGTGGAGGTGGTTTCACTTGGCCCAAGTTGGATCGTTACATGCGCCACGTGGGAGTTGTGAAAGAGAGGGACAGCTTTTGCCAGACGTAGAACAGTAGAACTTATATATATATACTTTTTGAACAACGGGTGTACGTACCTCCGTATAATACTGGCAAAAGGTGTTCTACTGTGTTTGTGTGATGCTTGATTATGCATGTTTAAACTTAAACAAAGTGCGCCTTGGACACTCACTCACTTGATGTAACCTCCAAGGCATTGTCCACAGATACATGATGATATACGTGCTCGTTGACGACGTTGATGCTGAATTGAAACACCAGTTTCATCCCATGCGCATGTACCGACCCTGTTGTGCACTCTGGTTCTCCCAGCGTTTGATATGGCACCCAGCCAAAGGAACATGGAGAATGGAGACCAACAAACATCGACGGAACGGAAAGATCAGAAGATCCTGCCAGGAGTTTGGGGTTGATTGGACACTCCAAAAACCGCCTCACCTCGGCTGCTCCTACCAGCTCCAGCTCCATCCCCACGCAAGTTCCAGTTCCACCGCTCACCCAATCTCTTTTCGATTTTCTTTGATAGGAGCGTGAAGGCCAAAGGAGAAGCAGGACTGAGTTCACTGAATGCCCTTCAGACTGAGTGCACTGCAGGCCTTTCAGCACCTCCAAGCATGGCTGTTCAGCCTTTTCTGGGTTTGGCGCTCAGTAGACTAGGCGAAAGGGCTTTGAAAGGGCTTTTAGCTTTTGGAGTAGGATGAGTCCAAAGTAGAAGGAGCCACAGGCAGTCTACTCTCCTTCTAACTAAGATGCTTGCGAAATGAAGAGTATAGAACTCTGAAGAGAAGGTGCCAACTTAATGCATCACATTCTACCATTGAAGAGAAGGAGCTGACTATCTAGGTCACCCAGTGAAGCCTCCAACAGGGCCCAACCTCCAACCTCCAAGAAGCCTCAACGAAAGACCGTACGTCCACCGTGCGGGTCCAGCACTCGACCTGAGTGCTGAGACAGGAGTGCTGGTGAAGCTGAACCAAAGTGGGCATGGCACTTTGGACCCAAAGTTGGACCGAAGGTGGCGACCTCTCTCGCTGTGTATATACATTATTGACATATATAATTAAGACGTAGTAAACCATGGTTGTCAAAGGTGGTCAACACCTTCAGAAGGGCTCAACAGCTCAGCTTCTTGTGTCGTTCTTTGTAGGTCGGCCTTAGGTTTGCGCCGGTGGCCTCGTGTCCCGGATGACCTGACGGTCAAGACTGGGTCGATCACGAGGGAACGATGTCAAGACCAGGTGAGATTCATCACCTACCTGGGTGGCTCGTCACATTCCGGCCTTTGTTGTTTTTTGCTGAAGTTCCAATCACACAACCTTTAGCAACCACCAAAAGCAAGGGATGTCACGTTCCCTTTTTTGTTGTTTATGCTGAAGTTCCAATCACAAAACCTAACCGACAACCACCAATGCAAGTAAGAAGAACACAACGTATCACAACTGTACTACTATATTTAGCGTGTTTGATGTGGTGGTTGTTGTTGTGGTGGCTGTGTTGGTCTACAAAGTTGCTGCTAATAAACTGTTTCTCCATGTCATGTAGACAAAGGGTTAATCCAGGCTACAGGGTTAATCCAGGTTTTTGTTGCCACTTCAGATGCTGCCTCAGGCAAGGCAAGTGCAGAGGCCGAAGAGAAGGCTACCGTGCACTTAGAGGATGTGGAGCGAGTCACCAAGATGCCTGACAGCAGTTCTCGATGTGCAATGTGTTGATTCTCCAAAATCAGCTTAATGTAGACACTTGATTAACAAAACACACTAATATGAAGAAGTGTTCCAATCCGCAAGATTCTATACAGTAAGAGTCCATCCAAGTGGACACCTTCAGCTGTAAAAAGATGGAATCAAGACACTAGCGCCACAAGGACCCCTCTTGGTATCACACTTCAAATGGGGTGCCTTACCCATCTTACGGGTGCTCGTTGTTCTTCCGACAGTGTCGGGCCCCGTCCCCCCCGAGTCGGTTTGGAACATTCTACTACAGAGATTGGTTGAATGAAATATCATCCATTTGTGGCCAAACCCACCTTGGAGCAAGCCGAGCAAGCTACCCAGCTGGTGACATCCCCACCTTTTAAAACTTCCACCAGCCCTTCGAAGGACGATTTTCAGGTTCCAACCTTCGCTGGTTACGGGAAGCTTGGCGGCTAGATATCCTGCAGATGAACTATGGACTCTCAAAACCACTAGAGGCGGTCGAAAAACGGTCGGAAGCGCGGGGTCGGTGAACATGTCCATGGCACCATGGCACTCGTGTCCACCCGGACCCAGTGCCACCGAGCAGTGCGGTTTGCGGGTTTTCTTCGGGTGCCAAAAGCGACCGCACCGGCCACAGATCAACCTTCCGTTGGATGTTCGCTGGAGAGTCGAGAGGGTCTCAACTCAACATGACTCGGTTTGTTTAGCGCAAGGAATGCGACGGTGACGGTGGAAGGACATGGCGGTCTCAAGAAGGTCTTCCAGGCAGGAGAGTGGCAAACCGCAGTGAGTTGATGAAAAGCCAAAAGGACTTGGTGACTATTAGGACTAAGGACAGTTCTCAGGACAGTTCTCTGTTATAAGGACTAAGGGTTGTTCATAGAACATGGGTTGACTGGAGGGTCTCTGGAACTCTAAGGACTAAGGACTGACGCATGACCGCCATTGAGCTTCACCCCATGAACCGAGCAGCGTGTGGAGTCCCACCTTCTCCGACACGGAGGTAGTTGTAGGAGCTCACACAGGGTGAATTCAGCCGGTCCATCCACCAGGGAGCCTGGCGACGGGGATTCTTCGTCACAGGCGACGGCCACAGCGAAAGCCATTGTCGAGGCGAAAGCATGCATCTCTGCGCGGCAGGTGCAGATCGGGGGGAAGGAGCGGCAGGACCGAAGATAGAAGGGACCAGGGAAGAGAGTATAGTCTCCCTAAGGGTCCAAGACCATCCGAATCGGACGTCCATTGGCCCCAAAGACCATCCTCAGGAAGTACTTTCACCTCCAAGACCATCCTCAGCAGGTACCTGGACCCTATAGGTCTGTGAAGTTGTTTGGATCAGATGTTTCTGTTTGGATCCGATCCGAAGAAGCTACAGGGATTCACGTGGTGCTTGGAGCGTCAGGTGTTTCAAACTGGCCTCTTCCCAAGGTGATAAGTCTTGGATGGTCCTGGGAAGTTTATGGAGTTTCTGACTTCTTCAGGTGATCAGATATACTCTTGATCTCCATGGGTTGCTTTCTGTTCGAACGGAGCTGAAACTCGCGGCGAGTTTCACACCAGGCCGAAACTTCTACAGGTTCTGGGCGGAGAAGATGCGCAAAACAGAGATGGTCGCGCCAGGAAGATAGACCCGGTTCAACACCCAGGCCCAGCTCCGGAAAATCGGAGCTGGGCGTCTCCGTCTGAAGTTCACACCCAAATGGGTCGTTCGGTGTTGCAATGTGTTTCTATCACTCCAAACAAAACTTCTGAGCAGCCACACCAGCCCAGCTGCACCCCTTTTGCCGAACAAATACGACGTGACACGGGATTTGAGAAGACTGCATGGTGACCACTGACCATAGTGGGTTGAGAGTAGATGGCACAATACCCGAAGTTCGGTGGTTGATTATGGGCCCCCTTTCAAGAAAAAGACATCTGGGCCCCGTGCCATCCAACCATCCAACTCAACCTCTAGAGACCAATGTATTGTGCCTGGGATGTATTGGGCTTTCAATGCCAAACAACAGAGATCCAGGAGGCTCCATGCATCCCAGGAACGCAGCTGATGTTTGTCCTGGCAAGCATTTCCTCAGCCTCTAGTGCATCCATGTTTGTTCCCTGAGGAAAACCATGGAACACATTATATAAATCCTTTTAGGTTGCTTTCTTTTCACAGGGACCACCACACCCAGCCAAAGGCACTGACTTGTTTCGTTGTCATCGTTGTTGTTGTCCAAGAGGACGAGCTATTGTTCGTCCGAATGATGCTCAGCAGGCACGCAAGATGCTCAGCGAGCAAACGATGAAGGACTCGGGTAAGAGCTTCGCCCGGGCGGTCTACAAGAAGGCGCACTTCGATCGAATCAGATTGAGCTGGGAGCGTACCCCAAAAAACGGACGTTCTAGGAACCATCTCATCTCAGCATATCTGAGCTCTACAAACCAACACAATAGAACTGAGGTCCTATATCTTGAACTTTGGAAAGTCACTTGTTCTTTGAGGAAAAGAACACATTAAAATGCCAGATTGGGGCGATCATAAAGAGGTCCCAGATTTGCAGCCGAACGTTCCAGCAACAGCTCTTGTGTATACCCCTCAAGACTCTTGGCCCAAATTGATCCCCAGGTTTGAGCCAAGAGTCCTCTATAGTTCCAACCTTGTTTAAATAAGATTCATAGGATCAATTGCAATTTGGAATGTCTCATCGTCTCGGAAACCAAACAAAAACGCACAGATCCAGGCCTTTTTACTTGAAGTTACTTAAACTGTTTAAAGCTTCGTGAGTAAACCCTGTGCATCCCACCGTGCCAAAACCTTCAAACACCAGAACCGGCGTGACTCCCGAGCATCGCCAGGCAGAGCGCGAGGCCTACGCCGAGGCCAAGGACCGCGCCACGCGCACCGCGGTGAAGCTGGCGACGGAGGTGGGGCGCGCCTGCGGCCAGAGATGGCCAGAGCCTACTGCACCTTAGGGATCCAGTCGTACCGAACCTCAGAAGGTACTTGGACCCTCCAAACTTACATAACAGTGTCTCCAATCACCTTCTGAGAAGGTACTTGGATCCCTAGGGTACAGTGCTCATGGTCCTGATGTGACGGTGTGATGACTTCTTCGGAAGATGGTGGGATTCTGGTGGATGTGACGACTTCGTGCATAGTCGGACATGTCTGGCAGATGCCAGCTCCGAGTGAGAGGTTCAACCTGGTTCAATGCCTTTGCCTCCAGTCTATGTAGACGCCAACGGACCGGACCATGAACGCCAGGCAGCGCAAAAGCGCATCGACCAAGACATCGAGCATCAGGTGAAGGACTACACCGAGGCGCTTGCGCCTCGCGGCGCTTGAGCGACGTTTTTTTCAACTATAGACGTCCGGGGGGCCGTCGCGACCGACGCACGGTTCATTGATCGGGTTTTCTTCATGTTTGAGCAGTGCAGGTCTGGACGCACAGGAGAATATACCAGGAGTCACAAGACGGGGTGGTGTGGCTCGTCTCATCCAGGGGCTGTGGATGGAGATGGGCACACTGGACTTCCTCCAGGTTCGGCACCCCGTCGAACGTGACTGCCTGGAGTAACAAGGACTCACCAGAAACCACCAGCGATCAGGAGGAATTCCTGCCTTCCCCATTGGAATTCCGAGTTGACTTCGATGCACGGCCTGTTTATAGACTATATTATACTTGTGTTTACCTATACTACATTGGGGTGGTTTTAGGGGGTCAATGTAAGCATAGATTACATACATGATCATGCCTGGATGGTCCATCAATCTGAACTTTGGCGTCATCTCTTTCTTGGCCAAGTCCACCACACTTTCTCGCTGGCTGCAAACCTGCACTGGCCGCCGCGACCTCCAAGCCTGTCCCGGTCTCACGAGCTGTCCTTGGAAGGCGCACCGTGAAGAGCTGGAGAAGATGGCGCTCGAGGATGCTGTCAACAGCACTCGCGACCTGAAGGAGTCTCTCCAGGTGCGAAAGCGGCGGCCAGCAGCCAGCGAAGCGGCGAAGCGCGGCGCAGCTTGGTGCCGGAGCATCGTGGGAAAGGGTGTTCTCCCTCTTTTGGTGGGAAACGGAGATGGTGGGTTTAGTTTTTTGGGGGCCCATTCTTGCTGGATGTAGTAAGCATTTAGTGGGTGGTAGGGGCTTGGGAGATTGGTTTAGGTTGAGTTGAGAGGCTGAAAGTTGTTGAAGTTGTCGATGTTGACCTTGACCACTTGTTGTGATGGTGCTTGCTTGTGCATTTGATCACTCCTCGATTGAAACAAAAACTGGCTTCTCCAGCATCTCATTGAACCATGTTTGCTGTTTTGCAAAGGAGAACAGAGCACCACACCCATCACCGAATTCTCGGTGCGTCTGCCGTGCTGCTGAAGCGTGTGGCGTGTGGATCACCGGTGCGCAAGTCTTCTAAAGGATTATTTTACTCACAGACTCACAGCCATAACTTTCCTCAACCCTGTGGCTTTTACATGCCAAACCGCCGATTTTTGAGGCAACTCAAGCGTTCATCATCGCCACTTGGTATTCTGCCCCTGTTAAACGCTTTCTGTGTTTTAGCCAATGCATTGGCAAGTTTCAGGCACGCATGTGCGCAATGGACGCAAGGCGAAAGCAGTGAAAGAGGCGATGCAAAAGGCTGTCGAAAAGGCCGGGTTCTTGAGACATCACCAAAAGGGACAAGTAAACCATCCAGGAGTTCCATGTCAGGGTGCCTATGGGGGGGAAACTGATTTGCTCAGTGGCCCAGAACATGGTCGCTCACTGCATGGGACTAAAGACCAGGCCGACATGGAACTCCTGGAGCGTACCATTTTGTGTACAGTTGCGAGTGATTTGTTTGTATAGGAAGGTAGTAGTCATTGGGGTTACACTACAGTACTGCAGTGCAACAGATACTAAACCTCCTTTCAACAAACATGATCCATTTTGTAAGGCAGGCAGTTTGTCTAAACACATCGATGTATATACGCACACAATCAGTTGAGATATGCCAGTGTTCCGTGCAAGGATTCGCAGATTCATTCGCTTGCGGAGTACTAGCCACGTCCAAAACCATGGACTATCATGGACTCGAGCAAATTACCTGTCCCTTCTGTTTTGGTTTGCAGGTGTTCGGGTCACTTGACCGAAACTGCATCACATATCACATAGATTGCAGGTTTCAGTGTATGTCCTCCCAGATCCTCCAGCGAACTTGAGGGCGCAGGGAATCATCCACCTTTCGGGCACACCCTACTGACCGTATGGATCCACTGCCATCTTCTGAGACGGTGATCATGGAGACATTTTGAGACTGTAGGCGATGTCGGGCCCAGTCGTACCGAACCTGAGCTTCGGTGGCCATGGATCCTTATACGTCCTGAACCGTGGCCATGCATGGCCATGCCATCCTCCACGTCACCAGGGACCCTCCACCCACCGGTCCAACCACAGCGGACCAGGTCAAGACGGAGGCGCCTCTGGAGGCCCAGCGGAGGGCCGATGCCAAGGCGCGGAGGGCTGAAGAGCCGAGCCGATGTAGGAGACAAAGAAAAAGGCGCCAGGCCCGGTGCCGGAGGGAGGTGCGGCGCACTCCCAAGCAGGTGTTCTTTCCCATATACTCCATGTATGCCATATATGCCTACATTGGGGTGGTTTGAGGGGTCAATGTAGGCATATATGGCATACATGGAGTATATGGGTTTTCTTATTGTTTTTGTTGGTGAGGCAGACAAAGCGATCGTCATTTAGGGTTGAATTGGGATGTGTCTTACCCATCCCGCAGCAGGCAATTGTTTGATTTTGAATCTTGGTTTATACCCGTTTGGGCTCCTGGCCTACCTTCGGATATGCCGCCACAGGACCAACCCCGGGTCAACCCAGTCCCATGGAGTGCTTCGTTGTTGTTGTTTTGGTTTTCTATGCATGAACAGCAGGCTAGTGAACAAGAGCCGAGTTGTACATGTGGCTCGTCCACTTCTTTGCTTGTACTTCATGCAAAGACTCAGCACTTTCAGCCGCAATCCCTTGCAGATTGAGATGTTTTCAAGGCTGCTGTTTTGGAGACCTGTAGAGTCGGGGCCGGGTAGGAAATTGCAACCTCGTCAGGCCAAGAAGGCTGCTGAAGATCAGGCGAGGGATTCAGAGTAATCTGCTATATATATATAATGCTAATATATATGCAGGTGATTTGGATGTCACATGGCTTGAGTTTACGCAAATCATATCAGAGAATCCTGACCCAAAAGGAAGCCAAGAAGCTACAGAAAGTTTCTTATACTGCAATAATTGCCTTGCTAGTTTGTTACAGCTTAGGTAGATGCATTTAAGTCGTTAAGAACTAAAGGATTCTGCTGCAAGGCGCACATTCAGAAGCAGTGACCTTTGCTTTCTGATTTGGCTGGGACAGCCACAAATCAATTCAACACCGAAAATCAATCGACACATTGATGTTTGATTGCCAGACAACTCTTTCTCAAACCTGAACTTTGAACTTCTGCGGTTCTCAATATTGCTATGATTTGATAGGATCAATGGGAGCCTCAAATAGTAGCATCATACAAGTATACTTGTATGATGTTACTACTGTATTTGGGTGTATATAGGATCTCTCTCTCTATATATATACACACTCACTATATAGTATGTGGAACACCCACGGGCTTCCCACAAACCCGGTGGGACCCCAACCTACCACACGAGCCGCTGCCGCGCTGAAGCCTCGAGGCCACGAAGCTGGCGACCGAGGAAGCCCGCGAGGAGGCGCAAGAAGGCCTCGAGAAGAAGGCGGTGATAAAGGCTCGCGAGGAAGCTCAGGACCTGAACTGGCGGGACGACTGGGCACCAGACGACTGGGGTGAGGTGATGGGGTGGGGCTCGAAAATAGGGAGACGTTCCGCCCAGTTCGACATCCTGGAGGAAGGGAAATAAATTCAAAAACAGATGAGGGATTTTCCTTGATTGGAGGCAAGTGAGCTTGCCGCAAGGGTGCCGAGCTCGGGCGACTGTTATTCTTGAACAGCCAGGATGGGATTGTTTGACCCAGGGAAGAATGATTGGAACCAGGGTATGATGGAATGTAGTGGAATTGTGCAAACTCTTTCTTCGTTTGGGAGTTTGGAAGTGTTCAGAATCAGGAGCTGAGTGTATCTGAGTGTGATGCTTTTTTTGCGGGTCAGTGATCAAGCTACTCAATGATCTAGTATCTAAGTGGAAAAGTTATGAAAAAGGTCCCTGGGAAGACTAAATGTTGTTTTGTTTGTTTACAAGCAGGGGGTGCTGCTCGTATTCTCTAGGTTCGCTACACTGCTTCACAAAAAATTGCCGCAGCTAACAGCTAATTGTAGATGAGACTTCAGACTTCCAGCTCTTAAGACTTCCAGAGGAGTGCCAGCACGCAAACATGCCTGGTTTCCAACGTTTCAAGAAACATGTAGTGCTCACAGGTGGTCACAAGTTGTGGTGGAGTCCGATCCCTGGTGCTCAACCCAAGAGTCCAAGTCCTGCCCTCGACCCACTCCGCCGTGGTGCAGCGAAACCGCGAAGCAGCGGAAGCCAGGAGAAAGCCAATGAAGATGCCAAAGCGAAGGCCTTCGCAGCCGCCAAGGCCGAGGCGGAAGAAGCCGCCAAGGCGCCGCTACGTGGCTGCGCTGTTGAAGAATGTTGATATGAATTGATCACCCAAAAGAAGGAAATTCAGATTTTGAAGTCCATCTTGAAGATTTTCAGTGTAGCTTTAAGATTTGTGGCAGCCCCTCCTTCCCAGGAGCAGGCCAGCAAGGCAGCAGCTGAAGCTGCTGAAGTCCTCGCGGAGCAGAAGGCACTTTTGTGTCGGTTTCAGTTGTGGATCATTTGCCTTCAGCCGCCACCGGGAGGGGTTTGGCAAAATATGGGGAGAGAGAACTGACTTGAAAAAGCAGTGTTTGGGGGATAGATTCAGAGGCAAACAGATATTTGCTTAGTGCACAGAAAGGTGTTTGCAAACAAACAAGACTCTTCTTCATAGATTGCCTTTAATGCCATTGATGGAAGGGATGCCCCCAGTCATGCACACGCAGTATGGGAATATGGTATAACAAACTGTAAACTGGTACCAAGCTGACTCCTCTATGCTTCCCAGTCGGTTGGAACTCATTGGTTTGGGGGTCAGACCTTTGTGTTTTTGGAGAGTGGGCCCTTGGGTGGACTTCCATCGACAGCAGAAAGAGGAGATCAATTTTACACTCGGCAAACATCATGGTTTCGTGGATGGCCTGGCAGCCTGTCACCGATGTTGGAAGAACCTTTTCTTCCTCACTCTCCACTTGATGATTCCAGGGACTGTATATAGGTACCTGGAATTTCTCAGCATATGATCCGCTATGCTGCTGGGTCAGCGAATCCAATGTGTTTGTGTCAGCGAATCCAAGATCAGGGGGATGAACCGCCTCCGGAGTTGGCAACCTTTGCTGTGATTCGATTATTTTTGAGGATTGGGAGACTTGTGTGTTTCTTTCATGAGTGAAACATGTCGCTTGTCTTTTGATGGTTTTCATGTTGCAGATTGGAAGAAAACGTTTCAAATTTCAAGAATCCTTAGCTGCGACATTCTTAGTGCTTGTAAAGTGTTCATGGGTGAAACTTGTTGAAGTGGAACTATTATTGATGATTCTCCTCAGGACCCAAGGGTAAGACCATTTTAATTAAACATATTTCAACATATTTAGCTGATTAATGAGTATGACAACTTTCAATGTACAAGCACTGAGGATGTCTAACAAAAAGTTCTGAGCTCGATACATTTTTTTTTCAATGAACTTTGTATAATTGTCCATCCACAGTTGCAAGTGACGCCCCAGCACCGCAGAAAACCTCAGGCGCGCAAGAAAGCTGAGGAAGCTGCTGTAAAGAATGCCGTGGGGGAGCCTATAGTCAGTGGGCCTGCTAGGTGGTTTCAAGCGTGTCAAGATTTTCTTCTCAAGAAGAATAGGTGAAAAAATGTGAGCAGCTGTATTTAAAAGAACACTGAGTACTGTTGATCAAAGAAAGCTGGCACCAACATCTGTATTTTGTAGGACATGCTACTAGGCTACAGGTTCTTTGGCTGGGCCGCTGCAGAAGTGGGCCAGGTCGGGGTGTACAAACCTCACGGGTGGTGCCTATGAGTTCCGCCTTCGCAAACACAACACACAGACTCCACGGACTCACCATCCGTCTTCGGGCCATCCGCCTCCGGTGACCCCTTCGAACTGGCTCGGTTGGAGCGCGCAGAAGCCTCGGTGGGTCGTTTGACTGTTGACGACAGTACCCAGGGACACAGATGGAGGACAGATGACGAGAGAATAGACCACGACAAGCAGGTCAGTCTACCAGGGTGTTTCACAGGGGGGTTGACCCAAAGCCATTTCTGGCATGCCTGACAAGATGGTGCACTATGGCAATGGACCGCTATGGACCCTTGCGCTGTGGTCTCCCTCCCAAGTGTCAAGACGATACAAGGAACTAGATTCATGGCTTGAACGTCCCTCACTTATTTAACTTGTGTTTTACACCGATGATGTTTTAAACTATCAGGAGCATCCGTCCTGGGTGTCCTGGCTGGAGATCCCTAACTAGTTCAAGGTAGTCCAGCCAGGACACCCAGGACGGATGGTCCTTCACCATATGATATACACATACAACATCAAGAATTATAATTATGATTAATTATGCAAATTTAGCGTACAGGGCCTGTAGCTCTTGTTGACAGCTTTACAGACGGCTGCGGCGGCTGCGGGTTACTTCCTCCAGGTGGAGAAAGCCAGTAAACTCTTGGTCCAGGATGCGGAGGTCGAGGATACAGAGGTCGGGACGGCTGCGCGCATTTTTTGGTTTGGGTATTCAAAATAAAGCATATGTATGGGAACAAATTAAACAGATGTTGCGTTGCGCCATGGCCTTTGATGTCGTCCAAAGGGTACCAAAGGACGGAGCCTTTTCCTTTCGACGGATGTGGTGGCACCGCACCCACCGCACTTGAGACCGTCTACCGTACGGTCTACCGCAGATGTTGGATGAGATGTACTGACACCCCGAAGGAACTGAACGAAGCGATACATAGGGTCTGTCCTAATACCCAATAGATATAGGTCCTATAGGTCATAGGATAGACCCACAAAAATATATGTGATGTGATTGTATTTATTATGTGTTATTTGTTATTTGTATTGTAACACTTATGTTAGACTTTTATTCAACAGTCTATATATGTGATGTGATTGTATTTGTTATTTGAGACGACTTTTCGACAAACAGATTGTCTTCCACAGGATTTGTTCTCCGATTGGTTTTCGTGGCGGGCGGAGAGTACTATGTGAAATGGACATGCTGTCGACTCACCGTCAACTCGCTGTCTACCGAGTCTCAGGTGGACAAGGACACCGAGTGATGAGAGACGCGCTTAGCAATGCCGGGTGAAGCTGCATGCGCTGCGCCTGTTGCGCGCCGGTTGCGCAAGAGCTTAGTGGAGGCTTCAAGTTTGTTTTGGTTCAAAACTCATTGACATTTGCTGTATCCTGATGTAACTGAACTGAATGGACCCTTTGATCTGCTGTAAGCTATATACACAGTATACATTGTCAATTATGTCATTTTATTGCATGGATTCACTGGGACACTGTGGAGGTTCTGGTGAACTGATGAGATGTCAAGGTGCACTGAGCTCAGCTGCTCAGCTGCTCCGGCGGAACAAAAGAACAATTCGGTCTCCTGCTGTGAGGATCGAGAGGTGAGTACGGAGAGAGAGGTACAGGAGGCAAGTTGTTGAATAGTGTGCACTAGATATAACATCCCATGCCCCGCGGCAGTTCTTCTTTAATGATTATGTCTAATTCCGCACGTGCGAAGGCTGACAGTTAAGGATCACAAGAGTTAGCATCTTGAAGCTCAAGAATAACTAATTTGGAATAATTTGGAAGGGAAGAGATTTCGGTCAGCTTCTTGATGTGGTCACCGAATATATCTCCAGTCCAGTCTTTCTCCATGCAGGTATTACCGACCTCCACAACCTTCAGGTCCTTCTGGCTAGCGCTTTCCTGCGCTCGCAGGCCCACCGGCGTCAGAGGACCTTGGCCGAGGCCAAGGAAGAGGTGAAGTCCTTCACGGAGGCGAAAAAAATGAGATGGGCGGCGTTCATCGCCGTAGGTGGGTGGATCGAAGGTCGAAACCTGTCACTGGAATGCCTTTGGTGTTTGTGCTCCGACTGGTAGGACCTTGAGAGTGGTCAGAAAGAATGTATGTTTTGCTACGTACCCTAATGAGATAAGGTATATCGGTATATCCAACAAGGAGGCGGAAGAGCCTTCAACAGGTACCTTCACACTAGGTGGTAAGGCAGTATATATATAGATTAGTCGACATTCGATGACATGAGTATGTCCTCACCTTGAAGGGCTTTCCTGGCTTTTCTATATTCTATGTGATCCGCTGGTGAAGAGCCTCAAGTATCCCGCTTGGCTTGCACCTCTCAAAAATCCTCTTCCAAAATTCCTGAATAGGGCTCGTGCAGCTCTGTCAGGAGCTTCCTTCCTTTTAGTTCTAAAAAAGCACCACATTCCATTCTGTTGATTTCTTGTTCCACAAGAACTTCCTGACACCTCTTTCGCCATTTTTTTTAAACGACGGTCAGGGTGTCCAGGAGGTGGAGGATGCCGTGGCGGCGCCCCTGTTGCTTCAGGAGTCGACGGAGTCGGCGTTCTGCGGTCAAGGAGGGTTGGCCAAGAGGAATCAAATCCAAAGAAAAAGGTTCAGGGCGAGTTCAAGGGTTCCATTGAAAACACGATGATATGTTTCTGGTCGTTTGTGATTCTTCTTTGGTTCTGGAATTCTTAGTGAAGTGTTTCGCTGAGTCGCTGCGGCGTAGCTGGATGAGTAAATCCTCCGCGGTTGACAAGGTTTCGACTTCAATTCCAGCA